AGACCCTACGAGTGCCCCGACTGCGGGAAGAGCTTCATGGCCACCAAATCGCTCGGCAAACACCGCAAGTCCCACATGGAGGAGGGGACCTATAAGTGTTCCGAGTGCGGGGAGACCTTCCCAAAAAACTCAGCCTTCGTAGCCCATCTCAGGACCCACAAGGGCCAACCCCCCTACCGGTGCTCCAGCTGCGGCGAAGCCTTCTTGGACAGCTCGTCCTTCCAGCGCCATCGGAAAAAGCACTTGGCGGCGAAACCCTACCAGTGCTCTGACTGCGAAGCCGGCTTCACCGCCCACTCGGCGCTCCTCCTCCATCAGAAGAGCCACGTAGGAGCCAGGCCCTACGTCTGCTCCGACTGCGGGAAAGGTTTCCGGGACAACACCACCCTCCGTAGGCACCATCGTATCCATACGGGCGAGAAACCCTATAGGTGCTCTTACTGCGAGAAGAGCTTCCGGGCCAGTTCCACCCTCATCATCCACCGGCGGATCCACACCGGTGAGAAACCGTATAAATGCACCAAGTGCCCCAAGTGCTTCATGTCCAGCTCGTCCCTCCGGAAGCATCTGCGGACGCATCTCCGCAAGGAGCTGCTGGTGGGTCCCAAACAATGACTTGTTTTACCCAACGGCCTTCGAGGTGCCTTTGGGCGCCCACCTCAGCGATGAGGGATGGATGGAAGGAAGGATGGTTGGATGGATGGAGAGATGGGTGGCTGGTTGTGGAAGGAAGGAAAGATGGATGGATGGAGAGGATGGTTGGATGGAGGGAGGGATGGATGGTTGGGTGGATGGTTGGATGGAGAGATGGATGGATGGTTGGGTGGATGGTTGGATGGAGAGATGGATGGATGGTTGGGTGGATGGAAGGAAGGAAAGATGGATGGATGGAGAGGATGGTTGGATGGAGGGAGGGATGGATGGATGAATGGATGGATGGTTGAATGAATGGATGGATGGAGTTTGGGAGGTTTGGGTGGGGTTTGGGGACTCCCCGCCTTGGCTCGTGCATAAGGAACCCACCAGAGGAGAGCACCCAGGTCTTCCTTTAGAGGCAAAAAAGCCTCATTTTAGCTTCCCACCTTCAAAAAGATTTAAATAAGAGAAGGACCATCCTGAAACCGAGGAGTCTCCACCACCCTGCCCCGAGGTTTGGTCCGTTTTCCAAACACACGTTTCTTTCCTCAGTTTCCCCCTCGTGCTCATTCTCCCTCTTCTTGATGTTTTTTTTAACGTTGTGGCCTTCAAAACCCCCCGTGGTGAATTTGGCTGCGACCATCTCGTTCGTGGGGGCAATAAAATGAAACCGGATTTTCCGGGAGTGTGGGATCATGATTTGTTGGGAAAACTGGAGGAGGGATGGGGGTGGGGACGGGACCTCTGTGGTTCTTCTTGCCCCACATCTTCAGTTGGTCCCGAGCTACGTCGGAGGTGGGGACATACTTGGGGACACACTTCTGGGGACCCACCTGCTCCCCAGCCAGCAGCTGGAGAAGCTGGTGGAGCTGGTGGTGGGGTTGGAGATGCTGAGACCCCCTGATCGAGGGGCTGGGGGGGACATGTCAGTGGGTGGGGTGGCCTTTGGGTGAAAATGAGCCATCGTGGGGGGGAAATGACCCATCGTGGGATCAAGATGACCCATCATGGGGTCAAAATCCCCACTGTAGGGTGAAAATGACCAACCATGGGGTCAAAATGATTCATCGTGGGGTCAAAATGACCCATCATGGGGTCAAAATCCCCACTGTAGGGTGAAAATGACCAACCATGGGGTCAAAATGATTCATCGTGGGGTCAAAATGACCCATCATGGGGTCAAAATGACCCTTCATGTGGTCAAAATGATCCAAGTGGGGTCAAAATCCCCATCATGGGGGGGAAATGACCCATCGTGGGGTCAAAATCCCCATTGTGGGGTCAAAATGACCCATCGTGGGGTCAAAATGATCCATCGTGGGGTGAAAATGACCAACCATGTGGTGCAAAATTCCCCATCGTGGTGCAGAGTCTCTCTGAGTCCCGCTTCTCCGCCGCATCCATCACGCTCCAGCTCATCCCGTCCTGGGGAAGCCCCAAAGTGGGTGGGGGACACCTCCAGATGTGGTCTCCTCCCCGAGATGTGCTCCCAAAAGGTTCCTGGCAGCGGTGGGATTCGAACCCACGCCCCCGAAGAGACTGGAGCCTTAATCCAGCGCCTTAGACCGCTCGGCCACGCTACCCCGGTGGGGAAAAAAAAAAAACGGGATCGTTTTTTGCAACCCCGCCCCCCAAAATCCCTAGTTTTGTGTAAGGATGAGGTCACGCCTGTGTTTTGACCAAAATTCTGGCGTGGTGCAGCCACCTTCATCCTCATCCTTTTCATCCTCATCCTCATCCTTGTCCTCATCTTCATCCTCATCCCCATCCTAATCTTCATCCTCATCCTCACCCTTATCTTCGTCCTCATCCTCATCCCCACCCTCATTCTCATCCTAATCTTCATCCTCATCCTCACCCTCATTTTCATCCTCATCCTCATCCCCAGCCCCATACTCATTCGTCCTCATCCCCATCCTCATCCTCGTCATCCTCATCCTCATCCTCATCCTCAT